ATATAATTTCTTGGAGGATGTTAAAGTCACATCTCTTAAATCTGTAGAAAAACTATTATAAATCAATAAACCATTATAAATGTATTGAAATTGTGTTACAAATTTAAAACGTACAAAAGTCAAACATGTTTCTGATCATATCTTTCTAAATAAACACATCAAATGTATTAACTCAAAACATTTATAATCATAGAAACATGAACCGTGATTTGAAATACATACATTGCGATTTTGAGAATGCTTCTGCCTACTTTTGACACATGTCCCACCACACACAACGTAATGTAATAATGACACAATCACAAGCGTAAAATATAATATAATAATAATATAGCTAAGCAGAAGACTGAGACCTGATGTCTGAATGAAATGGAAGAATATAAAGTTAGTTTAGAGCGATTTAAAAAGGGTTGTGCAAACAACAACCTCCCAAGGCTTAAAAACTCAGAGGGTTAAAAACATGTCTGCTTTATGTCTGCAGAAGAAGAAAAGGCTGAAGTGGGCCGCTTCTCTAAGAACTTCCTGCCCATCCTTTTCAACGTGTACGGCCAGCAGCCTGCAGCCGGAGAGTCCAGCACATACAGGATGGCCGTGCTCGACACCATCAAGGTTTACCTGACTGTCACCGAAACGCAGGTCAGTCGAGCTTCATGAGCTTAGTTCCTTTGCACAGTGATAAAGCTTTTTATGTTTTCTGAGATCTTGTTTCATACTGAAGTGATGATTGTTGATTGACATGCTGTCCGCATTTCTCATCACTAATCAAACTATCGTCCACAGATGACCTGCACCTTCCTTCAAAAAGCCACAGACAGACTGAGCAGCACAGACACCAATGAGTTCACACGGTACGATATGAAAACCAATTATTTAAATGTATCTTATATTTTATTAAATATGGTAGGTTTCAATATAATTACTCTTCTCTATTTGTTGCTCCCTTTTATCTGCAGGATGTCAATGATGGATCTAATGGTTGCCATGGCTCCCTTTGTAGATGAGCTCACCATGACTAAAACCTTCGAGCTGATTCGTCCATATTTGGAGGTAATGGAACACACAGTGTTCTCAGTTTGAACCTATTGAACCAAAGTATATATTATGTGTTAACTTTGTGTCTGTTGCATTTGTTTCAGACCAAAGATCAGGGCATGCAGAAGAAGGCGTACCGAGTGCTGGAGGAGATGTGCGGAGGAGAGCGAGATGAGTGCAGGTCGTTTGTGTTGGCAAATCTGGAAACGCTCAAAGCCGTCCTGCTCGAGACTCTTAAGAACGCCTCGTCGCCAGCAAAGAGGGTGAGACTGCTGCATCCAGAGAGGAAAAATAAACAAGACACGAGAGGGGATGTATTGATTTACTGAGCTGTCAGATTTGAATCATTTTTTTTTTTTTGCTGCTTGTACTCAGCCTAGACTGAAGTGTCTGAGCCACATCGTGAAGAGACTCAGCGAAGAGCACAAAGACTTTATCGCCGCACTGCTGCCAGAGGTACAACCACACACACACACACACACACACACACACACACACACTCAAGTGATGGCAAACTCACAGTGAGTTCTGATGTGTATCATTTTCATGATGATGTTCTCTCCGGCAGGTGATTATATGTACGAAGGAAGTTTCTGTTGGAGCTCGTAAGAACGCCTACAACCTGCTGGTGGAAATGGGAAATGCTTTTGTCCGCTTCTGTGGGAACACAAAAGGTAACACGCCCGTTCTCCTCTCAGTATGGGTCTTTGTGTGGACACAAGTGGACTGGGAAGTTTTAAACATCTGTCTCTCATCCAGATGCCATGGAGCAGTATTTGGTGATGGTGTTTGCAGGATTCTCAGGCTCCGTCACCATGATCACCTGCACAGTGTTGGCACTAACTCGATTAGTGTTCCAGTATAAAGGTAGACCTGATGACTTGAAGCTGTTTCCTGTTGCTATTTTAAACGCTGCTTTGGCGGACGGGACTCAGTGCGACACCTTTTCTTTCCCTTCCCAGATTCCATCGAGGTGCCAGTCATGGAGCAGCTGCTGCACAACATTTGTCTGCTGCTCTCATCTCGCACGAGAGAGATCGTCAAAGCAGCCTTAGGCTTCATGAAGGTCATTCTCTTCATCATGGACCCTAAGATGCTGGCTTCACACGCCACTGTCATGGTATGAATTGCACATTGTCAATGCTGGAGTCAAGCGTAACGATATTTGTGCTCTGATATAACAGAGGTTTCAATCTTTGTGTTCAGATGGAGGGCATCGGCAACATTCATGATGATGTGAGGAGGCACTTCAGAACGAAACTGAAGAACATCTTCACTAAGTTTATCAGGAAGTTTGGGTAAGTGTTTGAAATGTTTGAAAATAAGTTTAAATCCTATAAATATAAACTGGTCAATGTTCAGTTATCTTGTGACTGGTGAATTCTGTTCTTTCTGTTTAATTCAACATCTGTAAATGGATTCACAACATATTCAAATACATGGGACACAAGATAGCTGAACCTTGACCACTTGATATAAGCAGTAATATTTTTAACATACTGATCTGTTTGTTTTAACACGACTTATCTCCTTGGACATTTCATAGCGTCAGCTGCATTACTTCTGTGGGATGTGTTTTTGTGGATGTGTCTGATCATCTGGTGTGTCTATAGTTTTGAGATGGTGAAGAGCATGCTGCCTGCAGAACACCACAAGGTGCTGGTAAACATCCGCAAGGCTGAGGCTCGCACCAAGAGACGGAAACAGGCGACTGATCAGGAGGACGACTCCGAGAGTGAAGAGGAGGGAGCTAAAGGAAAGAGCGAAAGGTTAGACCACTGCTCCACACACATATGTCTCTGCCTTCCCTTATACATGCACCCTTCTCTGTTGAAACCTTGTGTCCTTTCCTTTTTAAGTATTGAGGACATCCTCGCACAGTCAGATAGCGATTTGTCAGAGGACGAAGGAAAGACTCAGAAGAAACCAGGCAGACGGCAGAAAGGACGGGCCTGGCTCAAAGAAGGAGAGGAAGATGAACCTCTCAACTTCCTGGACCCGAAGGTTTCCCAGCGAGTGTTAGGTAACCAACAGATGCTCCTTACGTTCATTTTTCTGATTGCTTCCAGCTTGTGTGTCCATTTCCCAAGAAAACAGAGATGACGCGTGTTTGTTTGATTTTTTTCCAGCCACCAACCCAGAGCTGAAAAAGAGAACCAAGATTGACCATGGCTTTAAAGTGACTTCAGATGGACGGCTGATCATTAAAGAAGACGAAGAGGAAGTTGTGAAAGATAAAGGTGAGGAGAAGACACTACTGTCGTGTGTGTTGCTTTATGTCTGAACAGGATGTGACACTGTCTCATGACTGTTTCCACAGATGAGGGAGAGATCAATGATATTCTAGAAGAGGCTGGAGTCAAGAGTGTGAGTTCTTAACAAATGCGACAGGAGTTATAGATATCATTGTGCTTCTATGTGTGTGTAT